GGTCATGTGGTCGGTCGTGTAGGCGTACATGTGGATGATTTCTTGATAGCTGGAGATTTGCAGAATGATGTGTGTGTCAACATTCGATCCCAGATCAAGGCGATGTACCAGTGGAGTCCTTGGAAACGAGGACAATTCACTTTTGCCGGAGTTCAGCTGCAGCAATTGCAAGACTTTTCAATTGTTTTGAGCCAAGAGCTTTTCTGCAATGAGCTGACACCAGTGATCATTCAAAATGAGCGCATGAGACCAAAAGATGACAAGCTGACAGCAAGTGAGCTCAGTCAATGTAGAGGACTCCTGATGAAGGCACAATGGCGAGCTATACAGTCAGCTCCTCAGTACTGCTGCCGAATTGGTCTGGCATCATCAAGTCTGACAAAAGCAACCCTGGATGTTCTCAAAGAGGCCAATAGCATAGTGAAAGAGCTTCGAAAGACAAGCCAGGACAGCTTGATCTTCCACTCCTTTTTCGAAGAGAACGTCAAATGGAACCAAGTCATTTTCGTTCATTTTGGAGACGCAGCAAGAGGAAATCGAATTGACGGCTCAGATACCGGAGGCTACATCTCAGCAGTAGCCTCACCGAAAATACTGCAAGGCACAGCAGCAAAGATGTCCATCCTCGACTACAAGTCTTGGAAGTTAGACCGACCGGTGAGAGGATCCAATGGATCGGAAGGGCAAGCTCTGTACTTCACAGAGGATGCCGGATGGAAGATTCGGCTCGTATGGGCATTGATTTATGGAAAGAAGCTCAAACGAGCAAATGCCGATGAGTTGACGGCATGTGTGGAAAGCCTTCTAGTCATGGATAGCAGAGGATGCTATGATGCCCTCAGCAACTCGGACAGTCCTTTACTTGGCATGAATAACGCCAAGACTGGAACAGAACTCATGGCAGTGCAACGTGGCCTTCAGCCACACATGCGATGTTACCCAACCTGGACTCCAAGTGACATGAACTTGAGCGATTGTATGACAAAGGTATCAACAGAGGCATTCAAAGTGTATGCTTTGTACTTGACTCGAAAAACCTGGATCATACGGTTCAATGAGGAATTTGTTGCAGCACGGAAACAACAGAAGCTTCGACGCCAACAGGGCAAGCAACCGCACGCACTACTTGATCCGGACCCAGAAGATGAAATGTGGGCCGGACTTGAACGATGACGTGCATAACTGAGAATGGTGTCCATGCAACGTTCGAAGGTGAAGACGTCAGTTCATGCATGTAGAGTTGAGCGTTTCACTAAGGATCCATGCACTGTGGCCAGTTGGGCCCAACTTTTGCCAAGGAAAACGGGCTTAGATACGTTTTGTGCGCCATAGGGTTGCCATGACATGTTGAAGAGGGTGTATGCCCACAGAGTTGCGCGCAGGATTCCCAAAAACAGCTGTAGCTAGCAGCGCGCTGTAAGGCCTTAGGGCCGCTCGGTTGTGAAAAATCAATATTCTGACAAATGGGCACTCGGGACATACACAAGTATACCCCCTTTGAAAGATGTGGCCCCGACACATGCTGGGGCACATGAGGGGCGCTGGATTTCCAGGACCTTACTGTAACCTATGGGTGGTTGACAGTTATGGTAGAATGTTTCGAAGCTGGTGCTTGTCATAGATTGAGGTGTAATAGCTGCCACTTCAATGGAAACTTGGTTCCGTTGTGGATGTTATTAGAACGGGTTTTTGGGAAAGGTAGGTTGAGCAGACCTGCGGCGGTACTAGGCTGATATGGGCCATGTGTTTTTTTTGTGTCAGGGTGCGAAACGGAGTGAACACCAGAGTGCACTTTTCCTAACTGTGGTGCGAGTTCTTTGACGAAGTGCACCAGGGTCCAGGATGGGGTAAATAAAGGCCAGGATCTGCTTCAATAGAATTGGTTCGCAAGTAGTTTTGTAATCCCTGCTTCGCCCGAAGCAACTCCAGAATTTTTTTTTATTATGTTTCAGTGCCGGATCCAGCTTGCGAGTTTGTTCTTGCACCGTGATTGCGGGTTTGGGTTGCAAGATGGCTGTGGTGGCAGTTGGGGCCAGCAAAGCGGGCACACAAGAGATAAATACGGTGCAGCTCAATGCAATTACCCTTTTGGTTGGGGTGAGGCAGGGGCATGAGCAGGAAAGTAAGATGACTCATCTTCTTGTGATTTCTTCAGAGGAAGGCTTCCGCGCCAACAGCAAGACCAACACAAGATAAACAAGAGAAGCGAACAAGGAGACACAGTAACAAAAAACACACCAAAATTAATGGTTTTGGTGGCTAGTTTGTCCGACCGAGTCCTACCTTCTTATCTTCTTAAACCTTTTGTACCTGCCTAAGCTTCAGGACGGCTAAAACTGAAAATATCAGAAAAAAGGAGAGACAAGGGACAGTGGAGACAGTCAACTCCAGATTTGTTGGTAGCTTGTTCCATTCTTTTATCTTCCTAATCCATTGTCACCTGCCTAGAAAGCAATGACGGAAAAAAATAACAAAACATTCAAACTATTAAAAAAACGAAAAACGTCCCAAAAATTGTTTGTCGCAAGGGTAGTGCCAAAGGTGAAACAGACAATGCAGCAAACTACCACCCAATTTCTCCACTGAGGCTATTGAAGGCAAATTAGCAAAGACCCAATATGGCTTTCGGCCTGGCAAATCAACCTTGCACGCTGCATATGTGATCCACAGAATCCAAGATTACGTAGAATCTAAAGGAACGCGTTTAAGTCTTGCTTTACTTGATTGGGCGAAGGCGTTTGATAAATTCAACATGACAAGTTAATTCTGGCGCTTTAAGCGGGTGGGGTTCAGTTTGCACTTTACAATGAACCAAAACTTTGGATGTTCCGAGTGCGAACTAAGTGCAGTCAATGGGTGTTAAATGGAAAAATTATGGGGCTTGAGTTTGACATGGCTTGTTATGCGGATGATACAATTTTGTGCCCACTGACACCACAGGCCTTGATGAAAAATTCGACGCCTTCCAGTTGCGTTGCGTGAAAAAAATTCTTGGGATAGCCCCAACGTTCATAGATAGGCGAAATGCAAACCAGGCAGTAACCCAGAAATGTACTGAAATAGTTGTCACGCACCGGGAAGACCACAAAAACATAATGTTTTCGCGCTGAATGTTATCTTCGCCGTAAGACAGAACTAGGGCATGTGCTTAGAGCCTGCGAGGACGACCCTTTATGCCAAACATTTTTTGGATCAAAATCCAGATGCCGCAAACAGGGTGGACTATGGTAAACAGCGCCGTGGTCGTCCCAAGCAAAATTGGCCGCATGATGCGAAGAAAACCGCTTATGAATTGAATATCCATGAAAGTGACGACACCGAATCTGAAGAACATGATTTCCAAAATTATAACGCAGCCTTCCCCGAGAACTTTAAATGTTTTCCGTTGTTTTTTGGGTATGCCAACGCCTTGCTTGTTTTGACGATGCTTCATTGCAGGGTAAGGCTGGGAAAAAAATAGCGAAAAAGACACGGAGACGCAGTGAAAAACGTAACTCCGGAACTATGCTGGTTTTCCTAATCCCTTGTCACCTGCCTAGAACTCAATACAGCTAAAAGTGCCAAAGTAAACAAAAGAAAAGAGAGAGATGGACCAAAAAACAAGTGTAGGAGACACAGTCAACAAAAGTTAGCCCCAGACTCAATTCCTTTGTGGGGGCTAGTTTGTCCCACCTTCTTATCTTCTGAATTCTGTCGCCTGCCTAGAATTCAATACCACTAAAGGTGAAAAAGACAAAAACAACCATAGAGAAAGAGAAGGAAACAGGAAGACATAATGAAAAACACATTGACTTCAGAGTTAACTTTTTTGGTGGCTAGTTTGCATCACCTTCTTATCTTCCTAATCCTTTGCCACCTGCCTGGTGTTCAATACACCTATAGATGGACAAGGAGACGGAAACAAGCAGACACAGTGAAAGCGAATCATTTCCAGAGTTAATTTTTTGTGGCTACTTTGTCCAACCTTTTTACTGTTGGGGTTCTATCTTAAAACACGGGATGCAAAAGGGCTGGCCACACTGACTGGCCGCGCGGGGCTCTGCCGCGCTCTGTGGCCGGGCTCTGTAGCCGGGTATTGTCCTCCTTTTGTCCTTCATTTGTCCTGCTGTTGTTTTCCTCTTGTCCTTTTCTTGTCCTTCTGTTGTCCTCTGGCCGCGCTGACCAGCCCTGGACACACTGACTGGCTGCGCCCCTGAACTCTGGCCGGGCTCTGTGCCCAGGTCTTGTCCTCATCTTGTCCTGCTCTTCTCTTGTGTTCCCTTGTGGCCGAACGAGCAGCGATGTCGATGCCGACAAAAATCATTGATTAAACAATTTGCTCTTGGGGGGAAGGTGGGGTGTACCAAGAAATCATTTTTGAGTAATATTGATCCCAACGAATGGTTTTGGGGCTGTTTGGGGTCCATGCTGGTATTTTTGTAATTTTCTTAATCCTCTGTCACCTGCCACGAGTGCAACACAGCTAAATGTGAAGAAGCAACAAAACATAAGCAATAACAACTTAACGCAAAACTCACGAATGAACTCCTTTCGGGTGGCTGGTTTGTCTCACCTTCTTACCTTCCTAATCCTGCACCTACCTAAAACTCTAAGCGACTTAAAGTGAAAAAATGCAGAGATAGACAACAAAGGAAACAAGGACACACAGTGAAAAAAAACAGCTAGCATTAGTTCTCTATTTGCACAATGGACAGGTTTAACTCCAGAACCAATTTTTCTAGAGTTGCAGATTGGCAGTGGTAAAATCTAAAAACATTAACACTGGAATTGCATACTGTTTAACTCTTGTATTCAGCCTCTTCCTCAAAGCGCCGGGAAATTGGTCATACACCCCCACAACCTGTGGCCCCGTTACACGGTGGTGCATGGATGAGCTGAACTGATTGAAGGAGTTGTCAGGAAGTGAATGTGGCATAATGTGGCCAACAAAATGGGAATAAGGCCGTGTAATTGATTTCGTTTTTCATAACCAGTGGGTTTGGATACGTCATGTGATGCAGGCTTTGTCGGTCGAGAGTGGTGCTTTTGGAACTCGAAATCCGAACGTGCAGTTCTACTTGCCACCTGGCATTTTTAACAGGGTTTTTTCCTTTTGGTGCAGCAGCGCCGGTTTAAGAAGTCATTCTTCCAATATTGGTGCTGTGTGGTTTTCATTGTGTGACGCAGCTTTTGCTCATACCGGCTGTCCACTAACAGTTTGCTCATACCGGCTGTCCACTAATAGCATCGTTACTTTTGCCGTTACATTTTATGCCTTTCAGCGTCCCGTCCATGTTTTGTTGCGCAGCACGTTCAGGAAACCTTCGTTGATGCCCATTTGTGGGTCAGTGGACCTCAAGACTCATGTCCTCTACCAAAAGGACTTGGCTTTTCTCAAGAAGGCTGGAGTGACAAGTGTTCAAGTGCGCCGCCGAGGGGGGATATGCTTGGGGGAGAATATGACATCCTGGTGATTCAGGAAGCGGACGGTAAAAACTCCAAAATAATTGGACGCTGTTGAATTGTGACCGAATTTGAGTTTCCTCCTTCCATTTTCTGCCTGGCATCAGGGAAAAATCGTAGGAACACGTTTACGTGTTCCCGTTTTTGCTCTTTCAAAAGATGGTCGTGACATTTTGGTCAGGATGGGCAACACGAAGTGAGGATCAACAAAGAGATCTCCAGCATTTGGACTGCCAAAGAGCTGCTGAACTTCGCCCACGCGCGCTCGACCGAGTTCGACTTGGCCAACGTCGTCACCGTGCTGCACCGAATCGCCAAGTCCGCCGACCGTTGGCAGATGAAACGGGACGCAAGGCTTGGGAAGATTGTGGCTCAAGCAGTGGATGCTTGGCTTTGGCATTCAGGATGCGCATGTCAAAACATGTTGACCATTAACCAACAAAACTCGCATATGAAAAATTTTGACCATCCAGGTAGGGGGTCTGGACTTTCTGGAAGGGCAGTCCAGCTTATTGGGCAACATTTTCGACATGATGGGTTGTGAATCAGAAAGGCTCCCAGGCTCCGCGTTGTAAAGAGTGCAAGTGAGCAAAGATTCGGCATGTAGGCCCCATGCCACCCCAAGATGCTGTGCAAAATTTAAGAAGCCATTCCGAGGGTTGTTGCATTTTAACTGGTACCAGGAATCAGTTACATCCTTGCCAGGGCCTTGTCATCAGTAGTTAGCCTGGAGTGCACCGTGGCTACCCTCCAAATAACGATATATCGGGATCCCAAAAATTGGCGGGGCGCATTTGAGCAGCAAGGATGTGCTTGGAGAAGATGGGCGGACAACACCTCGCGACATAGCAAAGACTCAGTGGGCCATAGGCATGGCCGTCTGGCGGGTAGGAGGTAGCAGTCGGTAGGAGACAGAAGGATGACCCACATGAGAGCTTTCAGGTTCAGCATGTCAGCACAGTCGAGTTTCCTTGGGGGCAGATCTCCTGTAAACACCATTTGTAGAGCGTTTCTCATTTCACGGCATCAGTAGCTGGAATGGGTCTGGCACTGTGAGTTGAATACAATATAGCAAGCCAGCAAGCCCTTAAACGACGGGCTTTGTTCTCATCATCATCGTCATCATCCTCGTCGTCGTCGTCGTCGTCGTCGTTGTTGTTGTTGCTGTTGCTGCTGGACAGGACGCTTGCACGTACAAGATGCCCCAGTGCAAGAGAAACTCAACAGAGCGATTGCTAGGCGAATGAGTGAGTTCGAAGCACAAGGATTGTCCAATGTCATTTGGGGCCTGGCCTTCGCGGAACAGGACCGGTGATGTGAATATCATCGAACTGGGGGGAAGGGTATGACTTTGACCGTGCCACGATGCGCCACCAACATCTGTGTGCAGATGTGCATATGATTTGTGTGAAAAATCAGGGTGGGAGGCAAGGGACTGGGACAAATTTGGGCAAACGAATTGCAAAAGGGTTAGTTGGTCGAGGATGCAGCGTGTGCAATGCGCTTGGCTTTGCTGGAGTTCCACCAAAGAATTGGTGAATGCGACCCACAGGCTTTGAGCAATGTTGCGTGGTCCATTGCGAAGTCTTTGGTAGCTCGGCAGTGGCCGTTTCCGGTGGGGTGCAGGGAGTTGGGATTTGTGAAGGTTTTGGGTTCGGGCAACTTATGAATCTTATGAATGGATCATGGATCTCCATCAGTTCTCCCTCAGGTTGTCAGAACCATCACCTTGAGGCTGCGGGACATGAGCCGTTGCTCCTGGCACTGTCCTCTGCGAGCATCGCGCGCGTGAAGAAGTTTGATCCGCAAGGGCTCGCGAATCTCAGCTGGTCCTTCGCGACCCTGCAGCAGCACGATCCTGCGCCTCAGGCGGTGAGCCAAGTAGTTTTTTATATATCTTTTTTCTCCTCTTGTTCCGAACGGAGGCCTTGTCCAAGTTGGGCTGGGAAGTGGCTCCAAAAAAGATTGGGAAGACATTGTTCGGGCTCATTCTGCCAATTTTTGGCCAGTTTTTGACCAGATGCCAGGTGCTTTTTGCTCGTGTCGGTGAAACCTTCCTCTCCAGCAGCTCCACTTGGGAGCCACAGCACATCGCAGCTTGTCAGCAGATGCTGTGCCGCTCAGCTTCCGCCATAGATGCCTCGTGATTAGGCCTAGACCCTCCGGATGAATGTCGGACAATCTGTCCGTATGGGCACGATCCATTCGACGGTGTTGGTTCCAACAGCGACCACGACATTGTTTGGTCGATTTGCGGCTCTAAGGCCAATTTTCTTTGGTCGTGCGCGAGGTGCCAGGTGGAGTCACCACCTCTACTAGCTGGGCTTTGTGCAGCATCCAGCTGCTCTTTGGACACCTGGACCTGTCAGGGCTTGGCCAACCTTGCCTGGAGTCTGGCCAAGCTGGAACGCGCAGAAAACAGCTTGTTGGAGAGGATCATTACGGTGTTAGCCCGCTCCTCGGCTCAGTCTCAGTTGGTCGGCCCGATTCCGATTTGGGTCGAACGTGTTGGCACGATGTTGGAAGGTGTGTAGTACTTGTAGGGGTCGAAAGCCTCCCCTACAGCATTCCCGGGGATGCCGATTTGTTCTGTACGGTGTCCAGTTCTTAAGCCCTTTAGCATCCTTTCTCCCGATTGTGGGGTGCATGGGCATGCCTTGCCGAGGCAAGATTCGGCGTTGCTCGCCACAGAACACGGTGAACCTGGCCTGGTCCTTTGCCAAGCTTCTGGCCGCCACGTCAGCTGTTTTGGAGCTGCTTGCCAGCCAGACAACGAGGAGCCAGCCAACTGGGGGCCGGTTGACTCCTGATGTTGCAAAACACCAGCTGTTTCATACAGTGAATAATGTGAACGGCAATACCTACAGACATACACAGAAAATCAGTCATATACACGCACACATATGTAAAAATGCATTGCCTCCAGCAGTTCACAACACTCTATGACACACACCATGACGAGGACCTTGGCGGAATTCAGCCCGCAACATTGCTCAAATTTAAGTTGGGCCTTTGCCACTATGAGCCACATGCAAGAGCCCTTGATGATGATGATCAGCTTCCTGACGCAGGATCTTCTCAGTTCTTTTGCAGTTGCATCTTGTGTACAAGTGGCTCTTTTCCCGTTTCACTTAGGCCGGCACATGCTGGAGTGCAAGGAGGAATGCCACGCCCAAGATATTGCAAGCCTTCTTTGGTCATGTGCCAAGCTTGCCTGGCAAGACCAGGCGACGAAAACAGTTGGAACCGGTGGAACATTGTCTCGTTGACCAAGGGTGGTCACAACCAAAAGCAAACCATGGTAAGCCAGCGTGAGGCTTCTTTTGAACGCGTGGCTTCGGCTCGAAAGTGGATCCACTAGTGGCGACGGTGAAATCATGCTATACAGAAATGCTCAAAAGGGTTGACATGTCAAGAAGCGACATGGGAAAAACCCTCCTTCAAACTTTTGAGCTCAAGGCCTTTCAGTGTCTTTCAGGGAAGTCGGCGCCAAAGTGCTTGGCCTCCCACTCATTGAGGTTCTCATGGTCAAACCTCTGCAGTGGAAAGAGTGTCTTTGCTTCCTCGAGCTGTTTTGCTCTTCTTAGGCGTTGAGCCTTTCTTGCGCTGACAAATTCCTGATTCAATCGAACAACCCACGTCTTGTTCGTGTGGTAGAGGGCCATGATTTTGAAGCTCTCGTAGGTGGCCTTAGTCAGGCTATCTGCCAGGTTCAAATCACCTGGTACCCAAGTTGGGTGGCAATTGCTCTCGTCCTTAGTGCCTTGTTGCACGTGAAGCATCTCCACGCCCGTGCGGGCGTTTGACATGCCCAACATCACTGAGTCGTTCGTGGTGAGGGCGTCGAAGCATCCTCTTGAGTCCATGACTAAGAGGGATTCAGTCATGCTGGCAAGCAGGTTGGAGTTCTGGCGGGTGAGCTGTTCTCCATTGAGAAGGGCCCAAAACAAACGAAGACGCCATCCTCTATCTTCTCCTTCATAGATGGCTTGACCTTCGGCTCCATTGGAGCCTTTGCTTGGCCTTTCTAACTTCCAACTTCTCCAATCTATCATACTCATCTTGCTCTCTGCCCCAGTGAGGACCGAAGGGTCTGAGAGGCATGAAACGTGTCCTCCTGTTGCCCCGCCACAGGGCCTGTTGTTGAGGCCGGCGTCGGCGAAGTGGACAGCTATCAGGTCATTCCATCTCAGCTTTTGCTTCCTGCTGGCATTGAAGGAGTGCATCACGAGGTCCTGCTTGGAGGTTTTGCGAAGTTCTCTCATTATGGAATTCGCCTCCTTGAGCTCCTTGATGGTTGGATTCTTCAAGGATGAAGCCAGCATTCCGATTCTGGCACAGAACTGCGGGGCTGTTTGAATGGCCCGCCATTGTGCCTTCATTGTCAAACCTCTTGCCTGCGTTGTTTCTGCAGGACTGAGGCGATCTGTCAGCTTCCTCTGGTTCTCGTGCTCTATGGTGACCGGTCGAAGTGCTCCACAGAATTTCTCTTGTGTCATGTAGATGGTGTAGTCCTTGGTCTGTTTCAGTTCAATGCCGGAAAAAGTGAATGAGCCAGCCTGCCAAGGTGACCAATTGTACATCTTCCTGAACTCTTCTCTATATCTTTTCCAGTCCTTGTCATCTTCCTTGCCGGTGATGATGAAATCGTCCACGTGTGAAGCTATGCGCCCACACACTTCTCCGGCTGAGTTGCGGAAGATCCATATGCACTTGTCCAACGGGTGAGCGGTTCCGCCAATCCGCTGGATCTTGGTGTCACTGTCTTTCCAGAAAATCCTTGGTGCGTTTGTCAAACCATAGATCGCTCCAACGACCTGCGTCGCCTGGTTCTTTGGAATGTGCAGGGCGCGACTGAGCTCTGGGACACCATAGGTGTAGAGCGGCTGTGTGCCAATGCCTTCATCAGCTTGGAGGAAAGCTGATTTTGCGTCGGCTGACTCCAGAAGGTGTTGGTCTAGAGCAGCGGCTTGTAGGACCAGTTGGCGTCCTAGCCTTGAGAGTGTAGGTGATGCCGTTCTCAAATGAGGTCTCCCAGTACGCTCATCTCTTCTGGCCAAGTCCGGGTGTTTATACCCAATGAGGACAATTCTGGCTTTTGCTTTTGCCAGACCATCTTCTCTGAGGACGGTTGGTGAGCCATCTGTAGGTGGTAGTTCTGGAGTTGACAAAGGCTTCCATATCAGGATCCATCTCATTGGGATGATTCTCTTCTTCAGGACTGATTCCGGAACTTGTTCACGAAGAGCTCTGAGAGAATGTGATCTCAGGACTTCAAAGACTTCTCTGGCCATTGCTTCTTTCATCAACTCCTGGTGTTGTGGTGACAGTTTTCTAAAGTTCACTTCTTTGCTCGGTCCTTGCAGCTTGTCTGCGACATAGGCCGTGCTATCCAGGAGGAACGCTTGCATGTTGTCGACTTCAAACTCAATGACGCAAGCTTCTTCTGCGTCAATGACCTTGTCGGAAAACATGAAGTCCAGAAAGAATTGCTCTTCTCTTTCTTCTGCATTGATCTCTTCAAAAAACTCTTGACGTCGGCATTCAGGGTCACTCCTTTCTTCTTCCTTCATCTGTTCATTGTCATTTTCAATCTCATAGTTCTCTTCAGTCAGGTGTTCATTCTTGAAGTCATAGAGCTGGTAGATGTCCATCTCCGGCTTTGTCTTCGGTTCTTTTGAAGCCATAGTGACCGTGCCCTCGTCATCGTCAAGGTTGTAGTGTGGTACCTTTCTCTTCCTTCCACCAGGCCGGACGGTGAATTCGGAACGGCCTGTCCATGTTCTTGCGAAAGCAGGAGTATCCTTTTCTGTTTTCTTCCAGTTGTCCTCATAGGTACCATTTTGTTGATCATCCCACCAAAATGTTCGTCGTTGTGGTTGGATGAATCTTTCTTCCACTGGACAGTCAGGAGTGGAGGTCGGCTGAAAAAGTGGCCATCGTGGAGTGTAGTGATGGCGGATGAGTTTGCCATCTGTTTCCATGTATTCCCACTCATCAGGGCGTCCAGTCTGTTCTCTTGGAAGCTGTGTCAGAGGTGGTAGTCCTTCTAGTCGTCGAGCCTTGTTGATTGACCTGGAGTTGATCCCAGTTGGCAACATGCTCTTGTACTCGGTGTCTTCGATGTTCAGGTGTTTCTCTTGACCGTGATCGAGATCGTGAACTGGAATCCGGTCCATCTGAAGGCCCACGCCATTCATCAGGAGGCGTTGCTGGTTCTCCTTCTTCAGGATCTGGTTCTCCTTCAGGTCGAGGTTCCTCTGGTAGAAGGTCTCGTTCTGGATCAAAACTTGGCTCCTTTGTCACATCCACAGTGGAGTGGAGTTGTCGAAGAAGATCACTCATAGGAGTTGCAAGTCGATCTCCATGTTTGACCATCTCTGCCAAGATTTCCACTTCTGAGGCTGGTCGCATTTGTTCAGGTGCACATCGCCATAGAGCAGTGCCCATGAGGACCCAGTAGACAGCAGCGTGTCCTCCAGGTGTAGCTGAAGGTTCCACCATTGCAATGCGACCTGGACCAATGAATCTGGGCTCATTGGTGAACTCCTTCTTTCTGGCCTTGATGGTTGGATTTCGCCAAATGCAAACCCAGTCACCCACAGCATAGGCGTTGGTAGGTCTGCTTGAGGCATTGTATAGTCTGGTCATTCTTGCTGCGGCCACTTCTTTTCGGTGGATTTGTTCAACTGCATCACGGTTCTTTTGAAGCTGCCAGAGCTCTGCGGTGTTCATGCCGTTGTTGGTGTTCACCTCCAAAGGATCATTGTCTAAGTGCCATGCTCCAGGTTCCAAGCCATATGCCCACTGAACTGGACTGTATCCTCGAACTCTGTCTCCATGGTTTTGAGCAGAGGACGCAAGGAGGGCCACCAGCTTGGGACTCAAGTTGGAGTGTTCACTTCTCACCTTCTTCATAGTGTTCTTCAAGGCTTTGACCATTGACTCAGTTCCGCCATGTTGCCAGTGAGCTTCTCCTGGTACGGCGGTCACTCCAATGCCTATGGACTGACAGAAGGCGGCAAAGTCCCCTTTTGCCAATGAGGTCTGGGCGTCAACCAGAACCCATTCTGGACGTGGTCGGTGTAGAAGCCAGGCCTCGACGAAGGCATGGATCAACTTCTGCCCAGACTCTGTACCATAGGTAGCATCATCGCCTTGCCATAGGAGGTGGACAGATGTAAATCTCATAGTCAGGCAGGTCATGAGGAGGTACCTTGCCTTGACCTTCATCTTTGGGAAGTAGAGCTCGAAGGTGTCAAGTCCAATCATTTGCCACGGACGTGAACGTGACTCTATCGAAGCAGGGAGTGTCATTTGGGCACCCTTCTTTGTTTCCAAACATGCTTGGCATCTCAACTCCAAGGCAAGTTGCGTGACCCACGGAGGTAGACCACGATCTTGACATAGCCTTGCCAAAGAGCGGTTATTCGGGTGACCAGCTGCTCGATGGAGTCGATGTAGCATTGCCTTGGTTTTCTCAATTTCTTCTTTTGGAACCTTTCGAAGCTCTGTTTCACCTTTTGTCTCCTTTCTCTCATGCTTCACGTTGTCATCAATCGCCATGATCGTCTTGTAGACTTCTTTTGGCGATTTTTGAAGGTTTCTTTGCCACTGGGATTTCCAAAGCCGAGCAATGCCATCCACCATGGACTTCGGGTAGAAGGCGGTCTCGGAGACAGCTTTGGATCCCATACCAATCATGCCACCTGGTCGGTGAGAATGCGTTTGATTGCACTTTCGACCACATCGGTCATGGAATTCAGGATCGTTGTTCATCACCAGCCAGGATTTCTGGATGAGGTGTCCATCAGGGCTTTTCATTCCATGTTGGCAGCCATCGATCTGGGTGAAGTAGATCGGGCCGAACTCCTTCTGGTACTGCTTGATGAAGTGCTGGAGTTCAGGAAGATTCCATCCAGCTATTGCGTGTTTTGGCCATTCGAAGTAGAACTTGCTGGTGTTGTGGCTGGCCATGATGATAGCCCAGATCAAAGTGATCGCACCTCGAAGTTGTCGCCGGCATCGCTGTCTCTTCTTACGAAGATCTTCAACCTGTTTCCAGTCTCTCTGATTGAGGTTCTGGATGGAAGTGACGGCGGTGCAAACCAAAGAAAACCATGATCTGGAAGGGCATTGAGTTTTTGCCTCTTCGACCATTCTTGAAACATCCGATGGCTTGCCGATGTCATACCCCGTCTCCAATGTTTTGCGATGCCCGTGGATCTTTTGTTCATGTACTGCGTTCATCAGTGCTGAGTTTGCTCGGCAGCAAATCTCCCAAACAAGGAAAGGTTTTGTGAAGTCCTGCAAAGCTTGAATTCCGTGGTGCTTCTCATCAGCTGTTGGCGTGTGGCCTCTCCAAGAGGCTCTGAGATCTCCATTTGATCACTCATGCTCACTTCTGAGCATCCCTCTTCTTCGTTGGCTCCTCGTCCTCCTTGTCGATCTGGATGAACTCCACGGCCTCCGGCTGTGATGCGGACGATGTTGCATCCCTTGTCAAATCGTTCGGCTTTACGTATCCCTTCTTGGCTTTGGCCTTCGGAATCTTGATCAGCTGGTACTCCTTGGACACAATGGTGATCATGGCCTTCACCTGCGTGTGCGAAATGGTCTGAGGTTCCCAGCCCTCGCTCCTCAAGCGTTCCAATGCCAAGATCACGTTCTGCTGGAGGTCGACGTGTGTCGTCTGTGCTGGGGCATTGACTGCAGGAGTGTAGGAGAGCCTGACCCCGCAGGTTGTGCACTCTGTCCAGCTGCCGAATCGGTTCCCATGACTGAACGGGTGGTGGTCTCCGAAACATGGCCACTGCTGTGTCTTGGCTCGAGGGTCTCGCTGGTCCATGCCAGCCTTTCTGGTGTGGTCGAGCTCTGTCTTGACCTTGGGCTTGGACTTGCCCTTTGCCGCCGTGCTCTTGATCTCGGCTTTTGCTTCTTTCGTGGCCTGGTGGATTTCCTCCTGGACCACTTCCCGCACGGCCTTTCAAATCTCCTCCTTCAAGGACGAGTCGGCCATGAGATGCCGTCGAAGAAGGATCAGCGGGAGTTGAGGCGTCGTTCACTGTGGGCATGAGATGCTGCAAATGGTGATCAGTCACTCCCAAATGACTTGCCAAATCGTGAGAAGCTTCAAATGCAAAACACTCAAAACTGACATGCTCTTCCGTGTTCATGACATCAAAGTCCATGACGCTCAAGGTGAAAATGTCTAAGACATGACACTCCTCAACGTCGCAAAACTGCACCCTCCGAGAAGGCGAAAAGGAAGAGGTCGTCTTCTTGGGGTTTTCCGCATTGGGCTCAAAAGGTTGGTGGTGGTTCTCCGGAAAAATGTGTTCCTTGTAGTCAATGATGAGGTGCTCCTTACTGTTCTTCTGTAGTTGCATGGGTCGTCCTTGGATGATGCATGCCCCGGTGGTGCAATTGATGACACAGTTCAAGTGTTGAAGTTCTTTCATCCCGGTGAGGACAGGTACATCAACTGCTGGAAGTGCATAGATGGACATGGAAACATCCGAAGTGGGGTCCTTGAGGGTGACCTTGTACAAAGCTCTGCCCCATTTGCCATTCCCAAATCTAAACCATGGTCTCGCTGTTTCAAACACGGTGACCTCCAAGTTCGGTCGCGATGAGACAAGTGCTTTGCACAAATCCTGCACAGCTTGCTTTCCGCCGGCAGTGGCGGTGGCTCCAGTGTCCACCAAAGACTGATGCGGAGGCAGCCGAGTTGGTTTGCTGCTCTCTCGCGTGGCAGGCGTTGCCGCCATCATCAAAGGAAACATGTTCGGGTCCATGTTCGAGTCATCGAATTCTTCATCCACTTCCATCATGCCCATGCTGTAGTTGGCTCCATAGCCTTTGCCCTTCGAGTATTTGCCCTTGCCCTTGTTGTAGTTGTTGCCAAAGGTGAACTTGTTCTTGCCTTTGGCGCTCTGCACCCAGTTGCCTTCCTGGAATCTTGTTTTTCCAGGACTTTGTCCTTTTCCTTTTCCACGGCCTTTTGGTTGGCCTTTCCATGGATATGTCGTGGTCGACCGTGGTTGTCGTTGCTGGACTGTGCCTGTCCAGCCACGATCTTTATGTGCAGCTGCAACGGCCTTTCTGGCCTCGATCAGGTTGCGGTCGGTCTCACCAAGTAGGGCTTCCAGCTCCATCTTGTTCTTTTCAATCTCCTCCTGCTCTTGTTGTAGCCGAAGGAGGTCTTCATCCATTTCTTCTTCATTCGGCCATTCTTCAGCTTCATAGGTTTCTTCATCAGGCCATTCCTCATAGCCTTCCGTGGCATAGTCCTGGCCGTAGGTCTCGTCAGAGTAGAAGCCATAGTGCTCCGAGTTCGGGTCGTAGGACTCTTCAGTCTCATAGTCCTGGAAGTATGCTCGTTGAGAGCCCATTGAACGAAGCCCCATGAAGCCAGGGCCTTTCCCCGGTCCTTTGCCATGAAGCTTTTCTTCAAAGAGGCCCAAAAGTGCTTGCCTGATCTCACTGTAGGCCAGGCGGTTTCGAGTTGCAGCCTTGATCAACCTTCGATCATCTTCGGAGGTGACGGCCATTTCAAGAACCATCCAGCCCCTGATGACGTCCAGGGCTGCCAAGGGCATGAGTCCCTTCTCCATGAGGCGCTCGAGGAGCTTTTCCTCTTCGGGATTCATCGCTTTGCGATGCCGTTGAGCTCCTCGATGATGAAGTGTGACTTGATCTTCCTTTTGTTGATCCTTTTGCACTAGCCTGGGTCGAGAAAGGTCTTCCAGGCTGTGACTCTCGAGGGGTATCAGTTCGTCCCTTTTCATCCGTCATTCCATCTTGTACTTCTCCTTCGTCAGGATCGTGGCCTTCAGGTTCTCCATAATATAGCGACTGACCTGGAGAGAATCCACAGAAACGTCGAAGCTCCTCCAAGTCCACATCATAGTCCTCAAAGGTCAGCTCTTTCTCACGGAGGAGTCGCTGGAGTGCACGGACCATATCATCATGAAGTTTATCCTCACGGATGAGGAAAGCACTGACACCTTCCTGAGGCTTGCGGCTCAACCTTCGATAGTAGCCGCCGATCTTGGAACCCGCGTCAGGGAGGGGTTGGTTGTTGAGAGGACTCTCTTCGAGGTACTTGATGAGCTTTGCTACGTCCTTTTCCGATTTGAATTCCTCTGGGCGCAGCTTGTACATGAGTTGGACAAGTGCTGCATGGTTGGATTGAAGGGCCTTTCGAACGATCCGAGCTGCTAGGAGAGGTCTTTCATTGGCTTTCGAGGATTGGGGGGCCCACTTGCATTCCACTATGAAATGCCCAAACGAGTCGCACCGGCCATCCCAACAAGGAACAAAGCTGGACCCATCGGGTCCCTTTTCCACCATCAGCCAGGGCTCCACTCAAGGTCCTGATCGAACCTGTGCTCCGCGGCACCAATCTCGTTGACCAAGGGTGGTCACAACCAAAAGCAAACCATGGTAAGCCAGCGTGAGGCTTCTTTTGAACGCGTGGCTTCGGCTCGAAAGTGGATCCACTAGTGGCGACGGTGAAATCATGCTATACAGAAATGCTCAAAAGGGTTGACATGTCAAGAAGCGACACATTGTGTGAAGCAGTAAGATGCTTCAAGTTGATGTTGTCCTAATTGGATCATTTATCTTTTTTACTGTTTTTGCTTGATGTTTGAACTGAGCGGACGTGCTTGTAAAATCTGGTCTGAAGACCACCTCCCGCAGGCGCTCCTCAAGCATTTGTGCGCTTCTTGCATTGTGAAGGTTGAGAGCTTCAGTGCCCAGCATATGGCCATGTGCACATGGGCCCTGGGGTGCCTCACACTTCCCCAGCAGGTTGGCCTGGGCATGTGGGGTGGTCATAGGGGTCAGTGAGGTCGTGGGATTTGGGTTAGCTTGGCCGTCCGACATGCATGAAATTGCGCACGCCGGCCGGTTTGCCCGTCGAAATCGATATTTCTAATGCCGATTTGCTTGGATCGATCCAGTCGGACGAGCCTGGCCGGTTGCACCGTGTGAATCCTCCAAGTGTTTGCGATCCAAGATGGGTGTAGCAGGACCTTCCTCCCGGCTTTTGTTATATCTCTATCTATCTGTTTATCTATCTATCTATCTATCCATCTATATATCTATCTATCTACCTACGGACATAGATGTATATTTATCTGTACATGCATGCAAGCCGAATTGGTGAAGCCTTTGTTTTGGGACAATGCCATCTCACAGAATTGTGGTCTTGCAGGAGCTGATGCATAGCTTTGCTCGCCAGCTGCCAAGGTCCCGGGGAGAGATTGGGACGCAAGGAATCTCCAACTTGGCGCATGGCTTGGGGAAGCAGGCTTTGCGTGATGAAGACTTCTTGGACTTCCTCTCTCAAGAGGACAGGAAAAAACTTGGTGTGGGGAAAAAGGGTGGTGCGACTAAATGCATGTTTTTGTTTCTTTTTTGGAGCGTTCTGTTACTGCTTTCCCGCGAGCACCTCAGGCCAGTGGATCTTTTGCTCTTTTCACGAACCAGGAGTTCGCGATGACCCTTTGGGCGTTTGCCAAGTTGCACTTCCTGTCCCCTCCCCTGGTGGCCGGGGCGTGTCAAGAATGTCTCGAGCGTCGGCCGCATTTGCTTCCACAAGATTTGGTGGTGCTGTCCTGGGCATTTGCACGCTTGGATGTTGGATGGATCTTGAGCGCTATGTCGGCCGAAGTGTTGCCTGTCGTCAGTTCAGCGGGCCCAAACAGAAGCATGCAAACATCAAGGAGTCTCGGGTTGTGAGGATTTTCTCCAGTCGATAGGGTTTGGCCAGGAACCACAGAGCCACTACTAGAGACTTGGCGAGTTTTCCTTTACAACTCGCTTCGCAGCGCGAGGCAGAAGTCCATCCCAGAACTAGGCCCTCAAGACCTGGCGAACGTTTCATGGGCCTTTGCCGCGGCTCAGGCTGGAGCTTGGAGTCTCTTGGAATTCTTCTCGATAAGTCTTTGTAACAGGGAGGGGCTCAAGGGCTTGTTCCCTTATCTCTGCCAGTCGTGTCACCAGGTGGAAGATGCGCCAATGATGAGCTCCATCGCTCAGGAAGCACGTCGACAGATCCTGGAACTGGAGGTGCAAGATGTTTCGAACATCTCCTGGGCCTTTGCGAAGTTTGGCCTCCGCGATGCGCACTTCTTTGAGGTTTTGGCGGAGAGGGTGTCTGCTTTGGTGGGATGCCTTTTGCCCCAGAACTTGTCGATCCTATGCTGGTCCTTCGCCAAGCTTGAGCTGCAAAAGCCCAAGCTCATAACCTGCATAATGCAGGAATGTTGGAAGCATGTCGATCAGTTTGATAGCCAAGGTGTCTCAAACTTGATTTGGTCTTTAGCAGTTTTGGCCTACGATAGTCCCAGCCTATGCCAGCGGCTCTCGCAGCGAGCGATATGCCTTGTGCATGAGATGACCGCGCAGGAGATGGCGAACATCGCATGGGGACTCCATGTTCTGCAGCATGGCAACACGCTCCAGTGCTTCCTGCAACACTCTATAGGCCGGCCGGTGGACAAGGGCCGGGGTATCACCAAAAAGACAAGCGCACTATGATCCACCATTTGTGTGCTGCAGAAGGTGGCCCAAAATCCGATTCAGATCCACTACCATAGAAAGTTCTGTTTCTTGCTGATGTGAACGGGTTCCCCTTTCTGAGCTTTTTGTTACTTTGGTGCTTGCTTGCCGTCCAGGCCCTTTCAGCCGAATGGCCGTGCGGGATGGAGCGGCCTGGGTGGATTTCGTCAACGTTTGCCTGGAGGCGCTACTTCGGGGGGGACCAGCGGTGTTGGAGATGTCGCAGTTTTTCCAAAAACAGTGTGGACACACTAGGGGTTCTTACGGTAATAGAAAAGCAGCTGATGCTTAGATCGCTGAAGCGGGCGGGCGTGGACGGCTAATTGGCTGCTATTTGCAGTACATTCATGCCTCCCGAAACCCTCGAAGTGCATGTCGACTGCGGGCCCGGGCGGGCTTCTAAGGACTGCGCTCTCGTTGTGGTGTCGTGCGCATTTCCGCACATGATGGTCACTTTTCGTGGCAGGCGCAAGGGTATAACCTCGTGTTTTCGTGCTTCAAGGTCGACTTTTCGTGACAGGTGCAAGGGATCGGAGCTGTTTTACTTCGAAATGCCCTTTTCGTGGCAGGTGCAGCACTTTGGACATGGTGGTGGTCGTCGAGGAGCTCAGATTTCATGACAGGTGCAGTGAGACGTGACCTTTGGACATGTGGCTCGTTTGCAGATTTCGTGGCAGGCGCAGCACTTGGTGAACCTTGAAGTGCAGATTTCGTGGCACGTGCAGCACTTGGATTTCGTGGCAGGCGCAGGACTTTGTGAACCTCGAAGTGCAGATTTCGTGGCAGGCACAGCGCTTGGTGAACCTCGAAGTGCAGAGTTCGTGGCAGGTACAGGACTTGGTGAACCTCGAAGTGCAGATTAAGGCACAGCACTTTGCGAACCTCGACGCGCAGAGTTCGTGACAGGCACAGCACTTGGTGAACCTCGAAGTGCAGAGTTGGTGGCAGGTACAGCACTTTGTGAACCTCGAAAAGCAAAGTTCGTGGCAGGCACAGCACTTTGTGAACCTCGACGCGCAGAGTTC